TTTTTTTTTTTTTCAAAGATTTATTTTTATTACAAAGTCAGATATACAGAGAGGAGGAGAGACAGAGAGGAACATCTTCCATATGATGATTCACTCCCCAAATGAGCGCTACAAACGTTTCTTTGCCGATTCGAAGTCAGGAACCAGGAGCCTCCTCCGGGTCTCCCACACGGGTGCAGGGTCCCAAGGCTTTGGGCCGTCCTCGACTGCTTTCCCAGGCCACAGGCAGGGAGCTGGATGGGAAGTGGAACTGCCGGGATTATAACCAGCGCCCATATGGGATCCCAGAGTGTGCAAAGCAAGGACTTCAGCCACTAGGCTACCTCGCTGGGCCCGTAAGTGGTCTTAAAAATCATCTCTACATCAAAGGCAGTGGTGCTTGCTTTTCTACTCAGCAGCATCTAGTCTGAGGTGAGCACTGCCCGTTAGGGGGCGCTCTCAGTCCCTGCCATCGAGCCTGGAGGGCCTGGCATGCCCTGTGAGCAGCAGTCTCCACAATATGGCAGGAGGGAAGGCTAGCCGCACACAGGGCAGAGCTCCCTGCTGCTCGCCTCCTGCCTCCGAGACTGGTGGTCCCTGCCTGTGCCCACCTAGCCCTGCCATGTGCACAATGCGGTATCTACAGGCACGCCTCTCAGGGCACAGCTGGCAGCACTGGAGAAGGGGTGCAGGTGGGGAGGGCGGCCGTGTGCAGACACGGCTCTGGGAGAGACAGTGTTTCCTGGGGTGCATGTGGCCCCGTCAGCTGTGTTGGTAAGCTGGCCTTATCCAAGTCTTGGCAATGTGCACGGCTGTAAGTGCAGGCCGGGGCTCGCTTCCAGCAGCTCTCCCGGTGTCGCTGTCCTTCCGGGCTCTGCCCGTCGTGTCGGGCCGCTGACTGCTGTGCTGCCTCAGGAATGCATGGGCCCCGTTTCTCTGCTCCCCCAGGTAAGCTGTCGGACATGAAATCGACGTGGTCCTCCAGCCCGGCCTCCCACACACAAGCCTCCCTGTCTCACGAGCTGTGGAAGGTGCCCAGGAACCCCGCGGCACCCACGAGGCCGCCGCCCGGCTTAGCCAACCCCAAGCCTTCCTCCACGTGGGGCGCCAGCCCCCTGGGCTGGAGCAGCTCCTACTCCTCGGGTAAGCCCTGCTTCTCTGGTCCGTGCAGGGGCTGCCGTGCTCGTCGCTTCGTCCCCGTGCTCGTCCCTGGAGCCGGGAGGGCTTAGCAGGTGGCCGGGCCACACAGGCATGCTCAGGCCAGAGGGCCGGCAGCCCACCCACAGGGAGCACAGGTCCCCAGACCCACTTGTTAGGTTTGTCTCTCTGCCAGAACGCAAGGGCATTCAGGGCCCAAACCAGACACACTGTCCCAAGTCCTGGAACACACAGCCCTTGGCCCTGGAGGCTGTCCCCCGGTGCCGGCACCCATGCCTTGTGGACATTTCACAGCAAAGATTGAAGGGCAGCTTCGAGGCATCAGGCCCTCAACAAGCCGCGGCCAGCCGCGCGAAGGGCCCGAGGCGGGCGGGCGGGCAGGGGCAACGGGCAGACCCCCTGGAGGCTGCCTTGGCCTCCCTGCAATATCCACAGGGACACACAGGTGCAGCAGGAGGCCTTCCCGGAGGTGTCCGTGGCTCCCCGCAACGCACAGGGGTCCACAGGCTCCCGAGCCCAGGGTGAACAGGCGGGGACTCTGTCTGGGACTGTGCCAGCTCTTGTGCTGCAGCAGAGCCTGTGCTGCCGGCCACCCGCGGGCAGAGGACAGTCTAGCCACCACAGCCTTGTGACTTGAGCTCTGCCCGGGCCTCTGTCACACAGGTTCTGCTTGGAGCACTGACACCTCAGGAAGAACAAGCAGCTGGCTCGTCCTCCGGAACCTCACACCACAGGTACTGGCACCGGCGGGCGGGGAGGGGAGCGCCTGCCAGCCCTCGATGCAGATGAGGCTGCCTGCGGTGCTCACATCAGAAGGTGATGGCAGTGAAGGGGGCCTGGTGGCCAGGAGCCCTGAGCCCCAGGTCCCGACTGAGGCAGAGTACACCTTTGTAAATCCTGTCCACCCAAGAGTGAGTCAGCCAGCCGTCGCCCTCTGGGTCCTGGGGCCTCGCATGCCCAGGTTTGCACTGTGGAAGAGGGCTGAGCCGTGGCGAGCTTCTCCCGCCGCCTCTGATCTCTTTGCTCCCAGAAAAGCCAAGATTTGGGTCCCAGCCCTGGCCTTAGGCTCTGCGCAGCAAGCGAGCCGGCTGACGTGGCCCCTGCTTCCCCACAGATCGATGGTTCTACTTTGCGGACGCTGTGTTTGCAGCACGGGCCTCTTGCCACCTTCCACCTGAACCTGACCCAGGGCAACGCCGTGGTCCGTTACAGCTCCAAGGAGGAAGCCGCCAAGGCCCAGAAGTCCTTGCACATGTACGTTTTCTCTCTGCCGGCCTGCCCTAACCGCATCTGCATGGCTGCTGCCTTAACCCAGGGAGACCAAGTTCCCAGGCTGGGGTGCCTGGCCTCATGGCCTCGTACAGTCAAGACAGGGTCACCCCTTCACCTCTGGGACCCCGACTCCACAGCGAGGCAGTCTGAGGGGTGGGGCCAGGGCAGGTCAGCTCGTAATGTGAGTCTTAGGTTGTGAGCTTGATCTGTGCTGGGCCGTGTGCTGCGTCTGGCGCTCGAGGCCGCAGCTGGCCCATCCTGCTTTCTGGCGACGTGCCGCGGGCCTGTGGGTCAGCTACTCCTGGTCTTAGACCAGGTGGGCAGCCACCCAACGCTAAATGACGCCCGAGTTGAGCGGTGCATTGTGTGCTGGGTGCCCGTGCCCCTGGGCTGGAGCCCCTGCTTCCGTGTAATGCACATCCCCGGGGGGAGGGAGCACGGGTGTGTGGGAGCGTGGGTCCCTGTCACCCACGTGCAGGGCCAGTAGGAGTTGCAGGTCTCTGGCGTCTGCCGAGCCTTGGCTGGTGGGCGCCGCTGGAGAGTGACCTGCTTGCTGGGAGATTTGAGTCTCTCTCGCTGATAACGTGCCCTGCACACCAGCATGCTACAGCTGCTCAGGGTCCAAAGAGGCGAGATTGCTGTGGTCGGTTTGGAACTGGCCAGGGCAGGCACACCCAGGCCCCATCTGAGCGTGCTGGTGCAGTGCTGGGTCACACGGTCCCGGGGAGCCACTCAGGTCTGTCTCGCTGCCACAGGTGTGTCCTAGGAAACACTACCATCTTGGCAGAGTTTGCTGGCGAAGAAGAAGTGAACCGCTTCCTAGCCCAAGGCCAAGCACTACCGCCCACCTCCAGCTGGCAGCCGAGCGGCGGGGCGGGCCAGCCACGGCTGGGCGCCTCCGGCAGCTCCCACGGCCTCGTGCGCGGTGACGCCGCCCACTGGAGCGCTGCTTGCCTGGGCAGCAAGGGCAGCAGTGAGCTGCTGTGGGGAGGGGCACCCCAGTACTCCAGCAGCCTCTGGGGGCCCCCCAGCACCGATGACAGCAGGGTGGTCGGCAGCCCCACGCCGCTGAGCACCCTGCTGCCCGGGGACCTGCTCAGCGGGGAGTCCATGTGAGCCGCGGCCTGGCGGCCCTCTGTACCTCTGTCCAGGACTGAAGACAGACCCGCACGCAGCCTGTGAACTGTTCCCGCAGCGCGGGCCGGGTCGGCGTCACTGCGAACCACAGGATGTTCCTCATAGCTTTTTATTTTGTATTGTCTTATGTTTGTATGGTGTGTTGTCATTTGATTTTTAAGTGTAAAAGCTGCTTAGACTAGTTCTATCATGAAGGGCACTTTTCAAACTGTGGGCTACGGGGAGGACTAAGCCTGTCTAAGTGAGCCTGGGACGATTGTGCACATACCAGGCGGGCAGGCCGGCGGGCAGGCAGGCCGGCGGGCAGGCAGGCCTGCGGGCACAGCCACCGCCCCCGCTCCCAGCCCCGGCCCGGCCCGCCTATGCACTTGGCCCCTGTTGCATTACTTTTTCATGTCATTTTTTTTTTATCCCAAAAAAAATATTTTTTAAAAGTTAAAAAAAAAAAAGACATATCAAACATGCAAATACTTGAATCCAACAGGCCAATAATGAAATGTGAACACTTTGTAAATCTAATTGTAACTTCCAGGTCGCCATCAGTACACAAGCAGGCTCTAGGAAGACTTCCGAGTCCACAGGCTACGCGTGGGTGCGTGTGTGAGTGTGAGTGTGTGAGGACGAGACGGGGTGTCCCGTGTCAGTATATGCTTTGTTTTGGCGTCGGTCGCACGTTTGTTACTATTATCGCTTCTGACTTTGCACTGAGTGTCCCTGCCCGCTCTGCAGCGAACCGTACACCTTGAAGAGAATTCCCAGGACAGGGCTGGCGACAATTCACGTGTAAATGTTTACTCAAGGACGGTGTTGTTCCCAGTACAGTGTGTGTCTCTGGAGAGATGCGACGTCTACCTACCTTTCGCAGCTTTTCCTGTGGACTGATGCACCGTTTCCATGTGGAATAGAGAAGCTTGCTGACCAGTGGCCATGGATCCTCGCCACACGTGGGTGGCTCCACACAAGGAGCTCCGCCAGCACTGGCCGTGGGTTGGGACTGCTTTCGGGGGAGCCCGTGTTTGGGCCCCCACCTGTTTACAGACTTTTTTTTTTCTCCTTCAGACTTTAAACTTTAAAAAAAATTTTAAAGGAATAAAAATAAAAGACTTGGGTCCTAAAGAGCCCTCCTTTGGAACGCGTTACTTGAGAGCAGTGGGACCGGAAGGCATTGTCCCCTGGGTCGCCGTGTCGCAGACTCCGTCGGTCCTTGGGGTCCCTCGTGGGGCGCTCGGGCACAGAGGGCCCGTCTGGCACATGGTGGACGCGCTCAGGAAAGCCAGGGCCTCCCGGCAGCTCCGCACCATCTCATGTATTTTTAAACCCAACTCCTAGCACTGAAGATGTTACTTAAAAAAAAATTAAGAAAAAAAGAGAAAAAAAAAAAGGCAAGGAAAATACCTTAAATCTAATGTGTAGCAGTACATATTTACCAAATAATGGACTCAAAGACACAGATGTTTGAAGAGTGCTTTATATATTAAAAATTGCTTTATGTTTTAAAATGATCAATGTTTTGTTTTGCACGGAAGACAGACAATGGAGAAACACACCCTGTGTGTGGTGGAGGAACCCTGCTGCCGCCTCGGGGAGAAGCCCAGGTGTGGCCTTTGTGTTAATTCGCTTTTCAGTGGTTCCATCCAGAGTTGTGCGGGATTGTACACCAACAGGAGCCGGTTCTCTAGAGGACCTGCACTGCAGAAGGCGGGCTCGGACTCTCCAGGTTGCTGGGCTGAGCTCCGCTGGCCACCGCACCCTGCCGGAGCACACCCGGACTCCAGCTCACGCTGGGCCGCACACTCGTGCTTTCCTGGGGCTGGAGGTGGCAGACCTGCCTGGGGTGCCGCAGGGTTTGCTGTGGGTTGGTTCGGGGGACCTTTCATAGTCCTTACGGTGTCTGAGGTTGGCAAGCGCATGGCCCTTCATGTTCTGGGCCAGTGCATGCACCATGGGACCCAACTCAATGGCACTTTTCTGGACATCCACGTGGACACAGTCTGGTTTCCCAGGGGCAGCCCTTGGCTCGGCCACAGGTGCCCATGCACGGTTGGCCGTCTGGAAGCGGCTGTGGCGACACGGAGGCAGAAATGGCTCTGATAGCACCAGCGGCCAGGTGTGGGCACTCCCCACACAGGACTTCCAGGCCTCCCCACATCTGCTCGCCTCCCTGAGGCAGGGAAAGGACCCGCTCTCGGGCACCTGGAGGTGGTGGCCAGGTGGCCAGGAGCCAGATTCTTGCTGTGAGGGTGTCATGGGCCACATGAAGGAAGCAAGGGCAGGAGCCAGCACCAGGGAAAAGCCGGGGGTCCAGAAGTTCCTTCCCCGACCCGGAGCTGGCAGCCCCCAGGGGACCCCCCACCCAGGGGTGGGGTCCCTGTTCCTGACTGGCTGACTGCACTAACACTGGGGGTCCATCAGGATGACCTGGTAGACGCGAAATCCCATAGCCGGCCACAGCCCCATCTGGAGCCCAGGGCTGTCCTAGCACAGATTTTTTTTTTTAAAGGACTACTCATTTCTTGGAAACACATATAGTTAATCCACTGGTTGACTCACTGGCTGGATGCTAACTGCAACCGGGGCCCAGCCAGGAGGGCCCAGGTGTGCCATGCAGCAACAAGGGCCCAGACAGGCCCAGGATTGGTTAGGAAGGCTTGTGGCCCAGGACAGCTGCCGTACATAGGAGCATCCCACGGCTTTGGCCTTCCAAGGGGGCAGAGTCTGTGATCATGGACCCAGGTGGGCCCTCGCCTCTCCTACCCCATCTCCCTCTAACCCACCAGCCCCTCAGCATGGCCAGACTGTGACCCTAGGCAGGGGCCCGGGGCACTTGACACACCAAGCCCTGCCCTTTGGGGCAACTCAGACACCACCTTGGGCCGGCAGCAGACAGCCTGTGCCTGGGGCCCCTCCGGGCTGGCCAACATCGCCTTCACAAGCCCCACCAGCAGAGGGCGCTCTCAGCTCCCCAGCTGTGGCTCCTACAGGTTAAGTCTGGGAGTGCGGAGCCGCAGGAATGTGTGGGCTGTGGGCACAGCAGGCCCTGGTGAGGCACACAGACTCACGAGACAGGCTCATTAGAAAAGCCCATTTAAGAAGAAAAAACAGTCCCAGGCAGGGTCGAGTCCCTGGGGTGCCCACCCCTGGGCTCCAGGCTGCAGTTGGCAGGGCTGGCAGGGCTGGCAGTCACTTGACCAGCCTGGTGGGCTGAGAACACCTGGGTGCTGAGGGTGCCTATGAGACACTAGCCATTCCAGCAGGCGTGGCCCGGGCGACAGGCAGTGGCCCGGGCGACACAGGCTCCTCGGCTCCAGCGGCCCTGTGGGAGAGGGCAGTCAGCAAGATGCCCATCCGCTCCCTCAGGCCTGCCAACGCCAAGGCTGAAGTGGGAGACAGACCATGGGGTTGGGGAAGGGGCTGTGAGCCACGGAGCCTTCGTCACTGCACGGAGCTCAGGGGTTCCTAACCTGCTCAGGACAACAGGCTGGGAGCCCCGCAGGGTCTCCACAGGGGCAGGGGGGCCCCAGTCCCCAAGGCCAGTTAGGGGCCTGCCGTGTATCTGTCCAAGGGACCTCTGCTCGTCCCCACCTGGCCACGGCGCCCCCCGGTCCACCCCACAGTGGCAGGGATCAGGCCCCAGCCCAGCCTCCTTTTGGGCCGCCCGCCACGGGGTCACAGCGCAGCGGCCCTGGAGAAGGGCCCTGCCCCAGTGTTCCCCACAGGGACCCGGCCACTGTGAAGGCCGGAGGGAGATGCTGAGCAGCAGGGACAGGAAGTAGTGACCCTGAGGGAAGACGCCCAGCCAGGCCTGCCCTGTGGGGACTCATGGTCAGAGGGCACGGCTCAAGGTACCAAGGGACAAGGCCAGGCAATGCTGGCTTCCCCGTCCCCCCCGCCCCAGCGGCCCATACACCCAGAGGCAGAGGGCAAGGGGACTGCAAGCACCCCGCCCAGAGGCCCCCTGGGGCAGCCGCGTCGCCCGCCCTGCCCTGGACGCCCTCACAGGCCCTCACCTCCTCTCCTTCTTCTCGTAGATGGAATGGAGCTTGTTGATCAAGAAGATTTTGTCCTCCCCCTCCTAGACAGGCCAGAACACAGGGTGAGGGAGAAAGTGGCTGTGCTACAGGCTGTCCAGGGCCAGCCCCAGGCCAGCTGCATGCAAAGCCCTGCAAGGCGCCCTGCGTGCTCTCACGAGCAGCCCAGAAGCCAGAGGAAAAACCAGCAAACCAGGACAAGCCCCAGGAAGCAGACGCATCCGTGGATCTAAGCTTCCTAGTGACCAAGGTGCAGAGGGAAACCCGTCCAGCAATACGGCAAGATTAAAACTGATCACAGCACACGGCGACAGCTGAGCCCGATGGGGGCCGCAGCGCACGGCCGGGGCGAGCCCAACCGGGGCCATAAGGAGCCCAGACCAACAAGCTCACGGCTGCCCGCCGTCCACTCAGGCACCACCTCCAACACACTCACTCAGCCCCATCCTACTCTTCCAGGCCAGCAATGGCGTCCCTGTCTCCCCCTGTAAGACCCTGAGCTCTCTGCCACCTCCCCAGCTCAGGCAAGCTCAGCCCCTAGCGCCCTCTCAAGCTTGAACCCCACTGAGGACGCAGGCACCCTTGGGGCCACTTCTGGGCTGAGGAAGGACCTAGCATGGGGCCCAGCGCGCACAACGGGGCAGCCCCTCGCCAGCGTCAGGAAGGACAGCGCTGTCAGCAGGCAGACTGACTCCAAGACACGAGGGGGTGCGGGCACAGTGGGCGAAGCCACCACTTGGAACGCCAACATCTGTTACCAAAGCCCCCATTCATGTCCCAGCTGCTCCACTTCCCACCCAGCTCCCTGCTCACGGCCTGGGAGGGCAGCTGAAGTGGACCCGACCCGAGGGCTTAGGCCCCTGCACCCCCAAGGGAAGACCTGACCGGCCTCGGACACACTGTCTATCTGAGGAGTAAGGCAGATGAAAGCTGCCTCCTCCAGCTCTGCCACGGCCCACGAGGCAGGCCCCACCCTGTGTCCTCTGGGGTGCTGCCCGGGACACGTAAGGCCACATCACGCAGCTCTCAGGATGCAGGCAACAGCAGGCCTCAGACCGGAGGACACAGGACACTGGCCTGCAGTGCACACAGCAGCCAATCCCAGCACCGACACCTCCAGGCAGCCAGGCGTCACGCAGCCAGGAGCCACGCAGCCAGGAGCCTGCTTCCCAAAGATCCTGCTTGGCCACCAAGGCCTGAGGGCAGCCCAGGCACTGGCCCCTACCAGAATATAAAACCCACCCACAGTCAGCAGCACCCAGTCTCCCACCTGGAGCTACCCCCCAGTGGGGTCTCCCCAGCCTGTGAGGTGGGGGCGTATGCGGGGCCCTGGGTAACAAACTGGCCTGCAGGCCCACCCCCACTTGTGCAGGACACACTCACGTTGAAGATCTGCTCCTTGAGGAGACAGATGACCTTGCGCTGGCCCTTCACCACCTGGATGTTGAGGTAGATGACCGCCCTGTGGAGAAAGGTGGGGAGCTGGCAGCCACATGGCCAGGCCCCGCCCACCCGCTTCAGGCCACACCCACCGGGGGCTAACCCCACCCACTCCCAGCCACACCCACCGGAGGCTAACCCCTCCCACTCCCGGCCACACCCACCGGAGGCTAACCCCTCCCACTCCCGGCCACACCCACCGGAGGCTAACCCCACCCACTCCCGGCCACACCCACCGGAGGCTAACCCCACCCACTCCCGGCCACACCCACCGGAGGCTAACCCCACCCACTCCCAGCCACACCCACCGGAGGCTAACCCCTCCCACTCCTGGCCACACCCACCGGAGGCTAACCCCACCCACTCCCGGCCACACCCACCGGAGGCCCCGCCCCCGACTCACAGCAGCAGGGCGGACAGCAGGAAGAGGAAGGAGGTATTCTCCACCAGGTAGCGATGCGCCCAGGGCAGCCAGGACACCCCCGGGCCTGCGCGCTCCAGGTGATGCACCCACACTGTGCCCGCCTCATACATGCTGGCCAGGGTGCGGAAGGGACCGCACGTGCCGGAAGGCCTCACCCTGTGGGCACAGGGATCCTAGGCAAAGGCCTGTCCCTGGGGCGAGGCGGCCCCTCCCACCCGGCCAAGGCCCCGCCAGTGCCCACTCACTGCCAGACGGCATAGCACAGGAAGATGGCGGCGCCCAGGAAGGACGGGAAGCAGAGCAACGTGCAGAAGACGGTGTTCATGCGACACGCCAGCCACGGCCGCCGCGGCGCCTGGCAGTTGGCCAGGAGGCTGGCCTGGGGACACAGAGGCCACGCTGTGCCCCAACCCTGCACCCCCACGGGGTCCTCCCTGCCCCCTGCCCGGCCGGGGGCCTGCCACAGCCGAGCACAGGGCAGGCCAGGCGGCCCAGGAGCACAGGGACAGTGTGGGGAGAAGCAGCTGCTGAGCTGGATCGCACTGCGGGTCTACAGGGGGCCTGAGGATCCCCTGCCCAGCCCCCACCTTACAGCAGCATCCCCAGCACAGCTCGGGGTGCAGGACCTCCACTCTCAACCCTGTGAACACCCCCAGGAGGGGTGGGACACAGGGCTGGCAGCAGTGCAGGCAGCCACCACTGGGCTGCCCCCGGGACAGCCCCCGGGACAGCCGTGCCCAGGCCACCTTACCTTCTTGACGTAAAAGAGGAGTAGCAACTTCAGGACCTGCACGGCAGGAAGGAGTGGCGAGAAGAGAACCCCCAGCCTGAAGGGGGGGACTGCAGTCAGAGCTGGGGTCCCAGGACAGCCTGGGTCGGTTGGTGACTGTCAGCAGCCTGAGGCCCTGGGCAGGGGTGCGACCCCAGGGGAAGAGGTGCAAACCAAGGGCCCCTCACCAGATCAGAGTCTGCCCATAGATCAGGTCCAGAACGTTCCGTGCAATGTCAAACTCGGGCTTCCTGCGGCTGAGCCTCTTCTCAGAGATGAGCCTGGAGGGGCCAAGCCATGTCCAGCCACTCCACGCCACCTCCGGGAGGGGTGAGGTGTCCACAGATGGGAGCAAGCGGCCCTGGTGTCCAGCCATGCCCCCAGGCCCGGTCACCATGGCAGCAGACACCCGCCCTCCCCAGGCCAGTGGCTAGCACAGGTCAACACGGGTTAGCAAGGGCAGTCCCGGCCGGGGAACCCCCACCTCTGCCTAACTAGCTTCATCTCCCTGAGACGCTCCCCAGTCTCAATGTGTAGGACCAACATCAGACATCACATTGCTTTGAGACGTCTTAACTCATCCTTTTTTGGGAAAAACAAGTGGGGGGAAGCCCCGAGACGCTGGCTCCCGTGAGGAGGTGGCAAAGACAGAGGTCCCAGCAACGGACTCCTCCCACCAGTGCCCACAGCGGCTGGGACCAGGCTCAGGCCGAGTCCCCCAGGAGGGTGACAGCAGCCCAACCCCCAGAGCCACCACGGGCTGCCCTCCTCACCACAGATCAGCACGGAGCTAGAGCTGGGTGCCAAACCCCGGCACTGTCACATGGGAAACGGGCGCCATCACCCAGCCCCCATCTATAATGTCATGAAAACATTCTTGGACTCTCTCCTCTGACCCTTCGCTCCCTGTAGGGAATCACAGCTGGCAGTGGGCACTGGGCATCCTGGCTCAGACTCCACCATATGGGCCACTATTACAGTATAGTGCATTGAACCACCACCTACAAAGCCAACATCCTGTATGGATGCTGCTGCAAGTCCCAGCTGCTGCACTTCCCATCAAGCTCCCTGCTAATGGCCTGGGAAAGCAGCAGAGGACGGCCCAAGTGCTTGGGGTCCTGCACCCATGTGGGGGCCCAGAAGTTTCTGACTCCTGGCTTCTGCCTGTCTCAGCTCTGGCCATGGTGACTATCTGGGGAGGGAACCACAGTTTGGGAAGTCCTGGCCTCGAGTCCAGCTGTACTTCCATTTCCGGCCTCCTGCTGACGCGCACCCTGGGATGGCTCAGGTGCCAGGTCCCCGCCACCCACGTGGGAGACCAGGCCATGGCAGGGGGCAGTCTCTGCTGCAGCCGGCCTTTGGGGAGCAAACAAGCAGATGGAAAATCGCGCTTTCAATCATGTTTTTTAAAAGACCGAAATTACAGCTCACACCTCATTCAGACACCTGCTTCCCTTCCACTCTAAAATCAGGGCACAGCCTGTCCCCTGGCAGCTTTCTCAGCATACCGGGCCGTGACAGGCAGAGGTGTGGGCTGGCATCGCAGGGCAGGCCCTGCTGGTCTGAGAGGATCCCGCCACCCCAACGGCGTGCAGGTGCCCAGTGACCCCAGTGTGAGGGCTGCCCGCCCAGGGCCATCCTCACCTCCACACCAGCTCCCCGAGCAGCGAGTCCAGCAGCGTGAAGGCCAGGTCCGTGACTATGAACCGGTACAACTCCTGACCCACGAAGTTCTCCCAGCAGCGGCCCTGCAGGGTCGGCACGCGGCGGCCCAGCCAGTGGTAACAGAGGATGCCCAGAACGGTCATCTTCAGGATCAGGTTCCTGGGCAGGGGGAGGGGGTCAGGGGAGCTGAGGGCCAGCCCCAGAGAGCCCCGCCCACCTGCCCGCCCTCCCGCCCGCCCCTCACCTGCAGACAGCCACATACACCTCCAGCAGCGGGGAGTCCAGGCGCTCCAGGGCGGCCAGGCCGCGGAACAGGTAGGAAGCACCGAGGTTGAGGAGAGAGACCACCAGGGGCAGTGCCAGCAGGGCCACTTCCTGGTCTTCAGCCACCCAGGTCTGCCAGGGCAAGATCAAGGGGCCTCATGGCAGGGGGCCTCAGGCTGGGGACAGGTGCACGGACGGATAGCCACGAGACACAGCCCACCCCAGCACCTCGAGTTCCAACCACAACAGGAAGTGGGGAAGAGATACAGGTGATGGGAGAGAAGTGAAACCCAACAGGAGAAGGAAGAGGAGGGTGAGAGCCAGAGCGAAGGCGGGGCCAGGCTAACCCCAGCTCTGCATGGGGACCCCCAGAATTCTGGCCATGTCAAGGGTGAGGCCTGACCCTCACGTGGACCATGACCCATGCCTGCATGGGGGCCTCACCTGGGCCTCCGAGAAGACCAGCACAGCCACGCAGCAGCCCAGCGTGGCTCCGAGGCACAGCAGCCACACGAGCCCCAGCACACAGGTACGCCGCAGCTTCCCGCACGTGCTCCGCGGACTCTGCCGCAGCTGCCACTCGGCCAGCAGCTCCTGCGGGGGCGGCGTGCGTTCCACATCACCAGCCAGCGGCCACACTGGCAGGGGCAGCCGGACTGACCCAGGTAGGCAGGGTGGAGCCCGGGGCCCAGGGCCGGCCCTGCAGCCTCACAGCCTGCTCACCGACCCCCGAGACGGTGCCTGGGGGTCACCCGTCACGTGGACAGTGCCCAGGGGTGCCCACCTTGAGCCGCGTGCGGAGGGTGTCGTGTTGCAGGCGGGAGGCCCGCCGCTGGGTCACCTTGTGGTCCCAGGAGCAGAAGACGGTGAGTGCATGCACGCCGGAGGTGCTGCCCACGCGGTAGCTCTCCCCGAAGGAGCGGGACATGCTGAGGGCAGGCGGAGGAGGCAACGTGGCTGAGCGGCAGCGCAGGGCCTGGGCAGTCACCCCCCCGGAGGCGCGCCGGGCTGGGCTCGCCCAGCAGACACCAGGACCCACCCCTTCTCCCCGCCCACCCTGTGCCACCCCCAGAGCAGCCAATTCCCTCTATGTGCTCCACCAACACCTAACACTGGGGCCGGCCTCAAGTCCTTCCCGCTCACTCCCCGGGCACAGCTCCTCCAGGGTGGGCACCACGCTGACCAAGCAAGCACAGGACAGACGCACCACAGATGGGCACAAGGCTGGACAGTGGGCACATGAGTAGGTGGGTGGGGGAATGGAGGGGATGAATGAATGGATAGATGGGTGGGTGGGATGGATGGCATGGTAGGTGGGTGGGTTGAACGGATGGAAATGTGGGTGGATGGACTGGTTGAAGGGCGGGTGGGCAGCTGTGTGAGTTAAGGTGTGAGTGGACAGATGGACAGTAGACTGACAGCTTGATGGGTGGACAGCTGCTCAGGTGGGTAGGGGATGGGTGAGCAGTTACACAGGTGCCAGCATGCATGAGCAGGCAGATGGGCAGGTATAAAAGGGGAGGAGAAAGACGAGCAGGTGGGCACGTGAGTGGACGGCAGACAGCTAAGCGCACGGTGGCTGACGCGGGTCCTCACCTGTACACCAGGGTGATACAGGTCACAAAGAAAGCAGCACCCATGGTGAAGAGGTAAGCCAGGGGCATGTTGTAGGGCAGGCTGCCAGCGCGGGGGGCACACTGGCCCGCGTCCCCGGGGGCCTCGCACGGCTGGTTCAGGGTGGCATTGCTGTAGTAGCCATAGTACATGAGCGTGTGCGTGAAGCGGCCCTGGAGGGGAGGACAGGTCAGGGCCCTGCTCCTCTCCCAGCCTTGGCCCGCCCCAGACAGGACGCGACCGCGGCAGGGCTGGGGGAGGAGCCCCCCGCCCGGGGCTTGTGGGGTGAGGCAGTGGTGGGGGGCGGGAGCCCAGGCCGGCCCCGGGGTGCCCTCACCCCACCCGTGAGCAGCTCCAGGCCAGTGAAGGTGCTGGTGGCGGCAGGTGGCGGCGGGAAGGCAGCCTGCACGCCCACCAGGAGGCCCAGCAGCAGCGGCAGCAGCAGCAGGTTCAGGCCCAGCAGCGTCTTGAGGAACAGGAAGTAGCAGAGCACGCTGGAGCCAAACTGGCCGCCGATCTGCTTCAGCGCGTCGCGCCAGGGCACCAGGGCCTGCAGGCCCGCGAGCAGCGCCAGCCCCAGGCTGTGCCAGGCCTGCAGGGACAGGGAAAGCCCTGAGGCCTGGCCAGGGCCCCCCCCACGGCCTCTCCGGGCGCGGCTGGTGGGCGGCGGGGGCTCCTACCAGGATGAAGGAGTCCCCGAGCTGGCCGCAGCAGGCCGAGATCCCAGTGCGACCTCGCCGGCCCCTGGGCGCCCGGCTCTTCTCTCTGCGCACAGGAGCGCCCGTCAGTGCCCGAGCCCTGGTGGGGCCTCCCCCAGCCCAGGCAGGGGGCAGCACCCAGTGGGCACTCACCGCAGGCTGCGCTTCTCAGCCAGGCTCAGTGGCATGCCCCGCAGCAGCTGGTCCCGCTGGGTACCTGACAGGCCCTGCAGCTCCTGCACCAGCAGGCTCCGCTTCTCTGCTGGGCAGAAAGGGGGCCTGTCAGGGGGACACGCACCCTCCCTGTCCCCACAGCCATGGCCAGGGACCCAGACCTCGGCCCCAGCACCTGCCCCACCTCCCCTCCCACCACATCCTAGGCGGTGAGCAGCAGCCAGGGGCGGGTAATGCTTCAAGTCCATTCTACAGGTGACAAGAGACCCTGTGGGACCAGCGCTGTGGCATAGCAGGTGAAGCTGCCAACTACGACAGCAGCATCCCACAGAGGCACAGGTTTGAATCCCAGCTGCTCCACTTCCCTTCCAGCAGAGGCCAGGCCATGTGTCGCGTGCCTACACCCACACGGGAGACCCAACTCCTGGCTCTGGCCTGGCCCAGCCCCGGCTGCTGTGGTCATTCAGGGAGTAGTAACCCAGCAGACAAATCTTTCTCATTCAAGAAGAGACCCATTGGCACGGCACACGCCTTAGCTGCTAACGAGCCCATGGCCCAGGAGGAGGGCCGGGGGCAGCTCCTGACTCTTCCCCCTCACCCCGAGAGGCAGCAGTGGCACCTCAAGCAGCTGGCTTCTGCCACCATGCCGGACACCTGGCCTGAGTGCCCGCTCTGACCCTGGCCCGGGCGCAGCCATCGCAAGCACGTGGGCAGAGCCAGCAAGGTGCGAGCACGCTACCTCTGCCTGCCTCTGAAATGAATTTCTAAAATACGTAAATAAAATAACAGCGCAGGAGCCAGTGTCATGGTAGGACAAGTTAAGCCACAGCCTGCAGTGCCAGAATTCCACACGGACGCTGGTTCGAACCCCGGCCGCTCCACTTGTGACCCAGTCCGTGCTAGCATGCCTGAGGAGCAGCAGAGGACGGCCCACGTCCTGGGCTCCCGCACCCGCGTGGGACACCCAGAAGACGCTCCTGGCTTCGGTCTGGCCCAGCTGCGCCACTGCGGCCACTTGGGATGGAAGATCTCTCTCCCCTCTAACTCTGCCTTCCAAATAAATTAACTAAATCTTCATCAAAACTCCCCCATACAAAAACAAAGATGAGCTACAGCTCCCCGACAGCCCAGCGAGCAGAGGAAACGGTGACGCCAGGGCGTCCCGAAGCCCACGCCTTCCTGCCTGCCTGTCACACACGCCTTGGGGCTGGGGGCTGAGCAAAGCAGAGGAAGTGGGGCAGGACGCGAGACGCTGCCTGATGTGAGGCAGAGGCAGAGGGACCAGACAGGGCCCCTGGTGCCCCTCACAACAGCACTGCACTCCACCAGCCCCCACCACAGCCAGGAGCAGGCAGCCTCAGAGTCGGTCCCTCCTCCACCTCAGCCTGGCCCTCCTCCCTCAGCCTGGCCCTCCTCCACCTCGGCCTGGCCCTCCTCCACCTCAGCCTGTCCCTCCTCCACCTCAGCCTGTCCCTCCTCCACCTCAGCCTGGCCCTCCTCCACCTCGGCCTGGCCCTCCTCCACCTCAGCCTGTCCCTCCTCCACCTCAGCCTGTCCCTCCTCCACCTCAGCCTGGCCCTCCTCCACCTCAGCCTGTCCCTCCTCCACCTCAGCCTGGCCCTCCTCCACCTCAGCCTGTCCCTCCTCCCTCAGCCTGGCCCTCCTCCCACTGCAGCCTGTCCCTCCTCCACCTCAGCCTGGCCCTCCTCCCTCAGCCTGGCCCTCCTCCCACTGCAGCCTGGCCCTCCTCCACCTCGGCCTGGCCCTCCTCCCTCAGCCTGGCCCTCCTCCACCTCAGCCTGGCCCTCCTCCCTCAGCCTGGCCCTCCTCCACCTCAGCCTGGCCCTCCTCCCTCAGCCTGGCCCTCCTCCCTCGGCCTGTCCCTCCTCCCACCTCGGCCTGTCCCTCCTCCCACCTCGGCCTGTCCATCCACTGCTTCTGCTCAAATGCCACTTCTTCCAGGAAGCGTCCCTGGATCTCTCTGCCATGCCCCTTCCCACAGCTGCCCCTATCGGAGCCTTCACCACGTGCTTATCTGCCATCCTGTTGAGGCTCTGACCACAGACCAGCCCGGGCACCCCAAGTCCCTAAGCCACCTGCTTGTGAGGGATGATGGAACCCCCAAAGTGCCTCACCCCACGCAAGCGGGGGCTCCTCCTGGCCACGTCCGCAATTCCACCGTGCCCTCCCCAGGCTCAGCCACTGTCACTCACCCTCCTCCTCCTGGGCCGACGAGTCCACCTCCAGGTCACGCAGGCGGAGGCTGGGCCGGGCCGAGGGGACCAGGTCCCCGAGCAGGGGTCGGCTGCTCCCACGCCGCCAGCGCCGCTGGGCCGTGCGGTTGTAGTACTGGGAGATGATGGCGCCTCGGCTGCGGCCTAGGACGGCAGCTGGGCAGGGCCAGGCAGGGCCAGGCCTCCCTCACCCCTGGCATGTCCTTCCCAGAAGCCTCGGGCTGGCCAACGAGGCCCACCCAGGGCAGCCAGCACAGGGCACCCCGAGGCCCCGCTGAGAGCCCAGCGCGAGGCCACAGCAGCACTCACCGATGGTCCGACTGGGCATGCTGGCCAGGATCTGCAGAGTGGCCGTGCTGTGCACCACAGGCCCCTCGGGCCCCAGCAAGTTCTGGGAACCACTGCCTACAAGCGAAGCAGGGGGATGCGGCTGGCTGGAGTTCCCAGGGAGGCCTGGGGGGCGCCCCCCAGCCCCCAGGCCCCGCTCACCTGCAGCTGTGGCCGCCGCCTGCCTTTCCTGCAGCTCCAGGCCCTCCTGGGCCGCGCGCAGGCTCTGCTCCTGGATGAGCCGATGGAAGGAGTCATGCACCTCGCTCTCATCGCAGGGGCTGGGATCCAGGCTGCGGGGGCGGGGCAGGCATGAGGCTCCAGGCCTGCTGCCCCCTCACCAGCCCCAAGACAGTACTCACTCTGCATTCTCGACCTCGGCAGGAACATCCAGCACAAAGGGCAGTGGCTGGGCCATGCTGGCTCAGACGCTCAGCAGGCCTAGGGCCGATCCGAGCCTGCGCGGGGCCTCCTGCCTGCCATCTGCGGTCAACACCCAGGGAACCTAGGGGCAAGAAGAGGGCTCTAACAGGAAGGAAGGAGGAGGCGCCATGGCCCCACGGCCACCTCCCGGGAGCCAGCAGCAGCCTGAGACTTGAGGAAAGGGCGGGGCACCTCTCAGGGTCACAACACGCCTGACCTTGCCCTGCCCATCCGGTGACCCGTTGACCCCGCAGCCCTTACTCCAGCAGGAAGTCCCAGAGGAACCCACCCCCAGCCGCAGCCCACCCGGTCCCCTCCCGCGGACACGCAGGGCTGCTTCCTCGCTGGCGTTCCCTGACCCCAAGGCCAGCTGGGGCAGCACAGCTCCGCTGACACAGGCCCCTTTGTCCCTGGTCTGCTGCCCCAGCGGGAGGCGGGGCTGGGGACAGCACCGGCCCCGGGGAACTCCCTGCAGCGCCAACCCGCGCTCAGCCCAAGCCGGCCGGAAAGCAGCCTGGGGGCGGTCCCAGACCCAACTCAGCCAGCGGAAAGAGCCCCCGCAGCTGGCACCCCCTTCTCCCGCGGGGACACGAGGCGCCCAGAGCCTGAGGCTGGGGGACGGCAGCTCACCCGGGGTCCCGGTCCCCGCCCCGAGCCCGGAGCGCACCATTCCGGAGCCCTGGGCCCGGTGGGGAGGTCCGGGGCCGCGGGGTCTCGGGAACTCCCACTTGGGCCAGCAGCGCGACCCCCCGGGAGCAGACGCCACCCAGGAAGAGCCCTCCCCAGCCTCGGAGCCCAGAGGGGTGGGCAGCAGCTCCGGGCCCCGGCCGCCCTCGCTCCGCCAGCCCCGCGCCCGCGCGCCCCTTCCCCGGCGCGCACCTCCGCCTGCGCCCGGCCGCCCCTTCCCGGCGCGCACCTCCGCCTGCGCCCGGCCGCCCCTTCCCGGCGCTGGGGCTGGCCTTCCCGCGCCCCGCTCGGCCCTCCGTGTCCGCCGCCGCGAGGCCGGAAGAGCTTGGGCGGAGACGCTGCCGCCGAGCGGCCTCATGGGCAGGAGAGGAGCCGCCGGGCGGGCAGGCCCAGAGCGCCACCCCCAGTGCCCGCGCTGCCCATCCGGTCGGGTATCCCGGCGCTCACCTGGGAGGCTCGCCGGCGAGCGGCTCACCTGTGCCCCCTACCTAAGTGGCCACCGGGAACTGTGGGGTGGGCCCCGCAAGTGGAAAGGGGGGCGCCCTGCGATGCGCGTGGGAGCGGCCCTGGCCCCCACGTGACCCTCCCCGCCCGGGGCGCACCTGCCCCTCCTCCAGGCCACGCGCGATCGCGCCTCTCCCTGCAGCCCGCGCAGGCCCCTGCCTGGTGTGGGGTAGGGGTGGGCAGTGTCTGCACCTGTACTGGGCGTTTCCCAAAGCGTCCCCTCCGGTTCCCCAACACCGGGGACCCCTGGCTCCCGCCGGTTCCCCAACACCGGGGACCCCTGGCTCCTGCCATCCACACATAAACACCACACATCCACCACATCCACCCACACCACCCCACTCCCGACACACACACTCCACCCCTTTGTTACCCCATCCTGGCGGTGGCCGGGTGGGGTCACTGCGGCTAAACCAGCGAGACTCCCCCTCACGTGCTCTGCCTTCTGGCCAGGCCGGGCCAGGGCAAACGGAACCCCTCTCCGAGAGCCAGAATGCGCCCCGACACCCTAACTTCACAGAGCCCGCGAGGGGAACTGCCAGCCTGAGCGAAGCCTTGCTCCCCGCAGGGCCTCCCAGAGCAGCCTGCCTTCCAAGGAGCTCCCACCTCCCCTCCAAGCCACTGGAAGAGGGAGAAGCTGCGGGCGAAGGCAGGACCCCCATGAACCCCTGCCCCAAGACTCGGGGCCTTCCTTGGGAAAGCGCGAACCGAGCGGATTCCAGAGCGCTGGCGAGCACCAAGAGGCGCCCAGGGCTGCAGCACACGCCCCCGGCCTACTGCGGGCACCTGCACACTCTTGGGGGTGGCCTGCGGAGGGCAGATAAGGGGACCCGCCAGTGTCGGGCGGGCTCGGGGCCAGGAAGGGGCGGGCCGAGGGCGCGCGGGAGCAGCCCCAACAGCACCGAGGCTGGGGGCTCCGAGCTGGGAGCCGCCACCGCGTGGCCGCGACCCCCGTCGTCGGACCTTGGAGCCCGCGCTTCCCACCTGCGCCCCGCGCCCCGCGCCCCGCGCCCCTGGCCACAGGAAGTGCCGCCGGGGCCTCGGTGGGGAGCAGAGGAAACTGCGAGGCGGGGGCAGGAAGGAGGGAGAGAGGAGAGGCTTGGGGAGCTAGGGTTCCTGTCTGCTGACCCCTCCGCTCGGCTGCCTGGCCGCCCAGCCAGGCCTGGCGGGAGCCGCTGCGGGGAGGAGGTGTCCCCGGGAAGGTGAGCTGGCTGCCCCGGGCGGTGGGCAGGAGGCTGGTGAGGGCGGGCCTGGAGGCGGGGAGGGTCTCCTCCATCTGTCCTCTCAGTGGGCTCCTCTGAACCCTCAGGGGAGAGAAGCAAGGCGGGAAGGGTCCGGGCCGGGAGCTGTCCAGTTGGCCCCAGGGCAGGGTGGCCTGGGAGGCTGAGGGCACAGCAGGCCTCGCTTTATGGAGACCCACCTTGCAGACGGGCAGACTGACGCCCAGGACCTGCGTCTCTGTGAGAGACTGAACGCAGCCCCGGAAGCCGACAGGAGCTCTCTTAGCTTCTGGCCGAGCGTGGCCAATCCCCGACCTCACAGCCGGTCTCCCCACACTGACAGCGTGATGCTGTGGTCAGAATCGGAGCCCGAGCCGGCCGCGGAGGCACTGTGGGAGCAGGAGGTGGTGCGCCTGTGCACGTCGCGGGTGCCCCTGCGACTGCTCCCCTACGCCATGGTGGACAAGCGCCTCATCCGGTGGGTGTCAGCCCCGCCAGGGTGGGAGCCGCCCGCCGCGCGAGGGCCCGGGACGGGAGCGTGGCGCGGGAGGACTCAGGGGCGCCCTCACCACCCCGTGCCAGGCAGCTGCGGGAGCCCGAGGGGGCGAAGACCTCGCGCTGGCAGCGGTGGCGGCGCGGGCAGCGGTTGGCGGTGCGGCGCTTGCGGGAGGCAGCGCGGCGTCTGGCCCGTGGCTTTGGGCTCTGGGAGGGGTCGCTCTACGAGATCGGAGGTAAGGGCCACTGCCCGCCCGCTCCAAGCCGCCCCTTTTGCAGCAGAGACAGGTGCATCCCTGGCGGGCGGTCAGAGGCCCTGCGGGTGCAGGTGCAGGGCAGCGCGGGCCAGGCGGGTCAGTCCCGCCCCGCGCTGCGCTTCTCACTCCAGGCGGCCTCTTCCTTCCCACCCGCAGGCCTCTTTGGTACCGGCATCCAGGCCTACTTCACCTTCCTCCGCTTCCTGCTGCTCCTCAACCTGCTGACCTTGCTCCTCACAGCCAGCTTCGTGCTGCTGCCCTTGGCCTGGCTGCCCCCGCCGGACCCGGGTCCCACCCCGAACCTGAGTGAGTGTGGGTAGAGACAGGAGGAACGGCTCCCAGATCTTCCCCCTCCCCACCATGGTCCCCATGGCCTGCCTCTGTCCCAGAGGGGCCCCCACTTCTGCCCAGGCTTCCCAGGGAGGGGGCTGTGTCTTAGGAACCCTTCCCCCTCCGTCCACAGCCCTCCAGTGTCCCAGCCACCCCCAGCACCACACCACCATGCCCCAGTTCCACAATCTCTTTTGGAATGTGTTAACCGGCAGGGTGAGTGGGATGTGTCCTGGCCGTGGTGCAGCAAATTCCAGCCCCGGAAGACCCTACCCCTGCAAGTGCATTTGGGCCCCTAGGGGGTGGTCTCCCAAGACGGGTCCCTAGGGAGTCCTGTGCCTAGCTTGGGACCGTTGGTCAGGCTCCCATGGCCCTGGGAGTATGGGCGGGATGTGAGGGACCAGAGTGGCTGGGCCTCCTCCTCCTCAGAGCTGTGTGACCCTGAGCCACTTACACAGCCTCTCTGGTCCTCTGCGAACTGGGGACGGATGCAACCTATATGCCGGGGCAGCGGGGACAGCGTTGTGTCCGTCCCTGCTCAGTCAAATCTGCCGCCCTCCCAGGCCTTCAACAACACCTATCTCTTCTACGGCGCCTACCGTGCAGGCCCCGAGAAGCAATCGCCCTACAGCGTCCGCCTGGCCTACCTCCTCACCCCACTGGCCAGCCTGCTGCTCTGCTTCTGCGGGGCCCTGCAGCGGTGAGCCCTGAGCCCTCAGATGGCACCCCTCGCTCCCCGCCCCTGTGGCACCAACGTGCCCGTCTCCCCTGGGCTGCCGCCGGCCATCCTGCCCCCCAAGAGCCAGGGCCTGGCGGAAGCTGAGGCAGAGGCGCCCCTCCCAGCGCCCTGGTTTCCCGCCCCCCAGAATGGTGAAGGGACTGCCCCGGAAGCCCCTGCTGACCCGGGACTACAGGGCGCCTCTCAGCGCCAAGGTCTTCTCTGCTTGGGACTTCTGTATCCACGTGCAGGAAGCCGCCATCATCAAGAAACACGAGATCAGCAACGAGTTCAAGGTGCGGTCCGCCCCTCCCTGGGGGTCCCGCCAGGGTAAGCCAGCCCTGAGGAGGGTCCCATCTTTCCTGCAGGTGGAACTGGAGGAGGGCCAACGCTTCCTGCAGGTGCAGCAGCAGTCACGGGCTCAGAGGGCCTGCCAGCTACTCACCCACCTGCGTGTCAACCTCCTCTTCGGGCTCCTGGTGGTCGGGGCCATAAGTGCCATCTTCTGGGCCACCAAGTACTCGCAGGACCACAAGGAGGTGCCAGGCTGAGTCAGGGGCATTTATTTAATCCCGAGGAGGGGAGGAGGGCAAGCGCTCTTTGCACGTGAGAGACCGACTGTGGGCAGGCTGGCCAGCAGCAGGCGGCCTCTGTGCCAGCGCCTCGCTCAGTCCTGGGGCTCCCGCCACCCCACCACCTCCTCTTCCTGCAGGAGCCCCTGTTTGTGCTGCTGCAGTACCTGCCCCCCGGGGTCATAGCTCTGGTCAACTTCCTGGGGCCCCAGCTGTTTGTGTTCCTGGTACAGCTGGAGAACTACCCCCCCAACACCGAGGTCAACCTCACGCTCATCTGGTGAGCATACCCGGGCTCGAGGTGGGAGGCCCCCTCGCTCAGCACCGCACCCCAGGACACACAGCCTCTGGGCCCTACCGCCAGTGTGGACTGTGCCCTGACCGCTCCGAGGGGCCAGAGCACATGCAGGAAACCCAGGAAGTGGGCACCCACACAGCCCTTACCGCGACAGTCCCCCACCCCAAGACTCATGAAGTCTGGACTGTCTCTGGGACCCATTCAACAGATGAGCAAACTGAGGCTCCTTGAGTGAGGGGCTCCATCCAGATTCAGGCTGAGTGCCTGAGGGGTACAAGTTCCACTGCAGGCTTCCTGCAGCCCCCAGGCTCTGCCATGTCCTGCCTCCCCCTCCTAGCCCCTCTCCCATCCCACCTGCCAGCCCCTGCATGCCCCAGCCAGCTCCTCTGCCCCCTCCTGCCACCTCCCACCATGTGGCCCATCGGTGGTGTCAGCAGGCCCGAGCAGGCAGCGACAGGCCGAGTTTCCCATTGAGACACAGGACCCTTTGCCATGAGTCCGTGGAGACGGCCTGCAGCCAAGCCTGCGGCCAGGCGTGCCTGACCCCGGCCCCGCCCGCAGGTGCGTGGTGCTGAAGCTGGCCAGCCTGGGGATGTTCTCCTTCTCGCTGGGCCAGACCATGCTGTGTGTGGGCGGAAACAGGACGAGCTGTGAGTCCTACGGCTACAACGCCTGCGACTACCAGGTGCCTGGGGCCCGGCCCTCCCGCCCCCTGCAGAACCCTGGCCCCCAGTCCCACCTGGCCGGGAAGCTGTGCGGGCGGACACACTGCCGCGTGCCTCTAGGGGGCGCCCCGCCCCCTTCTGCGTCCTGCAGGCCGTGGGCCTGGCTGGACCTGGCCTGCCCTGGTGGCACCAAGGGCAGGACCTGTCTCCAGGAGGGCTCCTCGCTGCGTTGGGGGAGGGACCCATTTCAGTGTCATCTGCCCAGCCCTGTCCATCTCCGGTGATGAGGTGGACGCGGGCAGGGCGGGCAGGGCAGTCCCGGAATGGCCGCAGGACCTCTC